AAATTCTGATAATCTTATTCTCAATTTATTCTAGTCTCAATTCATATTCTTTCAGGATTTCTGACAACAGAAGACGGAGTCATACCAGGAAACTTAGGATTAAAAGATCAACATTTTGCCTTCCAGTGGGTTAAAAATAATATCCATTTATTTGGTGGGGACCCCGAAAAAATTACGATATCTGGTGAGAGTGCCGGAGGGGCATCTGTGGGATTACAGTTAGTAAGTCAACGAAATAAAGGCTTATTCAGAGGTGCTATTTTACAAAGTGGTACCTCAGTAGCACAGTGGGCACATCAAAACTATGCAAGATTCTACGCTTTCGAATTAGCTCGAAGTTTGGACCCAAGTTTCACTTCGGATAATTCAACGGAATTACTAGAACTGTTGCAAAGCTTTCCTGCTTCAAACATAAACAACAACACAGTTACTGTAAGTTGAATGAATGCATTTTTTATATAGATTGGTAATGAGTAAGAAGTTAAAAACTAAATATAGATCATACACTATAGCAAAAATTTTCATAGGCTGCTGTTGGAAAAGAGTCTGCGTTATTGGGAAGTTTAATATGGCTGCCTGTAATTGAGGAGGCTAGTCTAGATGGAGCACTCATCACGGGTTTATTTCATGAGGACATTAGAACAGGAAACATAAACCAAGTTCCCATAATCATTGGCTTTAACTCTGAGGAAGCACTATTGTTTTTGAATAGTGGTAAGATTACGAAAACTTATTGAAACGTCTTATTATTTGCCACAAATGTCAACCGATATTTTAAGATCCTTCAGATGTTGAGGCGCGTGCGAAATATTTCGACAGTGATTTATCCAACCTTATTAGAAACCAGTTCAATATGACCAAAGAGAAACAAACTGACAGCTGGCACTAGACTGAGGCAAATTTACACCGACGGAACATTTGAAGACGATCCTGGGCAAGTAGTGAAGGTAACATCCATATATTTTTTAAGATGCTTTTCATGTATTTATTGAAACTGTTACTAGTTCAAAAGAAAAAATTTCTCAATGACGAAAAAAATAGCTTATTAACCTTTCATAAAATCTGAAAGGACACGTACCGTAAAACGTGGTGTATAGGTACAGTCCTCCAACTTTATGAAGATGTTGCGGCTTTACTTTTTATTTTAATATTAGTTTCTGTGGGGCAAAAGTCCGAACATGGCGTGTACTTTTCATACCCAAATAATGGCATTTTAAAAAAAATGTTAAATGATAGTTTGTTTAAAAAAACTGCGTTGTCCCTTTTCGCCTGGAAATGTGGTGATTAGGGACGGTCATGTTATTCAGCCGTTATTCTCATTTAAATGCAGCTGAGGTGTAAAGGGACAACATTTAGAAAAAAATATATCGTGTGATACCATTAAAATTCAATATAACATATTTATTTTGTTAAACTCTTATAAAAATACAACAGGAAAACTAAAAAACACTCTTTTAAAGATTTGTAAACATAAAAACTAATCTCTAAAAGGAACATTCTCATAATACTGGAACTGCTTAATCCTAAATTAATTGAAAGTCGTTGGTATCCACATTCTGGAATGTGTATAATCCACGTCTTTCTTTAAAAAATTGTAATTTTTTGATGATCTGTTTCTTATTAAACTCTGCATCATCCGGTGTATTGGGATAATAGTAAACGGGACCAGGTTTGCCTTTATTACTTTCTTTTTTTCGTAAAAAAGAGCCAACAAAATTTTCATCTAAAATAGAAATAATTTTTCCTATATAAACTCTGTTTTTTATGCAGGCAGTCTTTCTTTCTACTGGGAACTTAACTAAAACCCAGTCACCTATGCTAAAATCACAATTTGCCTTAAAGCTATCAGTCTCATTAAGTGGTAAATTATCATTGCAGTCTTTGATTTGGGAAGTGGTTGGAGATTCACTGGATTTTTTTCGCATCCAATTAGCTAGAGGAAGATCTTCACTATTATCGTCGCTTAATGTAGCATTAATCTCATTGGCGCTTTGCTCGGGAGAATCATAAAAATCTTCTTCTGCTAAAACATTGTCTTTATCTGCATAATTATTAAGCATTTCATCCTCATGTAAGCTGAGATCGCTTTCGCTGGAGCTATCACACTGAACACTTTTGCCAGGTTCAACTGATAATTTTTTATTTGTATTTTTTTCCTTGGTTTCTCTGAATATCTCATCTCTTTCAATAAATCGATCATTGTAGTATTCAATGCTTCTCTTTCATCTTCATCTAATTGTTCTTTGGGCAATAACTTTAAGACTTCTTTGTTTAATGGTATTATTCCTGTCTTTCGAAACCCAGAAATGATATTGGTTTCGGCATTCTCCGATATTTTTTCTAATAATGCTTTTAACAAACGGGGAAATATCGTTTTGGGGATGCTAGCTTCACTACGCCCTTCTCTTTTTTTCCATTTTTCTAAAATATTACGCCATGCGATTTTTAGAGGCCGAAAAATGGCGACGTCTAGTGGCCGAGTCAAGTGAATGGCGTTGGCCGGCAAAAATACCATATCCACGTTGTGATTTTTCAATTCCTTTACTAAGTCACAGGAAATGTGTGACGCCAAGTTGTCTCCAATCAGTATTTTCCTACCTTCTAGTTGTCTAAAATATGGTATTGCAGTTGTTTTGACGCAGTCTTCAAAACAGTCCATATCAAACCACCCTGATGGTGTCCGATTATATCTAGTGTTTCGTGGTCCCCCTTCAGTCCATGCAGAATATAAATTCTGAGACTTGTAGACCACGTAAGGCGGTAAAATTTGTCCATTTCCTGACACTGCGAACATTATTGAGGTGGCTGACTTTGTAGTATTCATAATACGTTCTGGATGCTTGCAACCCCTTCTAGTTATTATTTTTTACGTCCTAAAAACAAAAGATGACATTACCTATGTGAATATTACCAAGAGAAATTATATTTTACCAATATCATCTGACAAATTTGTCTCATCGTAGTTTACAATATTGCAAGGTGGCACATCCTGTAAAGCAATCGAGAGATTGGCGAAATATTCATTTAATATGTCACGTGAAACTTGAGCCCTAGATCTTTTAATGTTTTCGCACATTCTTTTCGAAAGTTGTGATCGATGTCGTTTTAAAAAACTCGTTTCAAATTCGGGCCCTGGAAGATTATCCTTAAAACGAACAACTTTTCTACCCAATTTGTCTAAATAATTTTTGACGATCAATCTTAGGTCATAACTATCGATTGGATAACCCCAATCAGAACATGTGTTTATGTTTCTAATCAGTAAATCCTCTTCTTCATTGTTTAAAACCGTCTGACCTCCTTGTTTCTTTACATTTCCTTTCTTGTGTCGACATAAAACTGACCTAGGGATACCATGAAACTTTTCTGCGTTACGATAAGTCATTTTTCGTGCTATAATGTCTTGTAGGGCAGCTTGAATTTTTTCTGGCTCATAATGGTGATACAATTTCTTTCCTTAAGGAGTATAAAAGCGAGGCATGTCTGTTTTGCCGGTGTCCCTAATCACCCCGACCTAACGTAAAAAGTGCCCGATTCATTAAAAAAAAAAAATAAAAATTTATGTTAAAAATTTAAGTAAGAATTACATTTTATTTCGGCACAGGACTGTCTTAGGTCTAATTATTTCCAATATGGTATTATTTTACTTACTTTTTCTATCAGTTACCACCAACACTCTCCGGTCTTTGAAAACAGCTGATTTCCAACTGACGTAATTCAGCCGATGTCATATGTCAAATTTGATTTTTGACGGGGAATTCAGTAGCGTCACAGTTAAAACACATATTTAGGAGTCAACTTGACAAGTGGTTGCGTTTCGAATGACTTTTATAAATAAACTAAAAAATATATTGTATAAAAAAAAAGGTTTGCCCCGATTCACCTGGAAGTCCCTATACACCTCGTTTTACGGTAACTAAAGCTCGGAAATTGGGTGGACTTGAGAAGAAATCACAATTTTGTTATGTGGGGCACCGTCTTATTTTCTCATGTTTGAGAAATTGAAATGCCTGCCAGAAATTACACTAATTTCGTTTTACCATGTTCCGTTAAAGTGACTTCTAAAAAAGAAATAAAAATCAAAACTTCAAATCTTCCAAAAAAAGAACTTGCTTTCACAATGTGTTGCTGCATATTAACCTTTCCAAGTTTAAAGAGCATACAAATAATTGAATCAAATAATCGATGATATAATAAAACCTTTGTTTAGTTTTTCAGTGACGACTTGTTCATAACCCCATCTATTAGGCATGCAAAGTTACAATCCAACTATTCCGACGTTTAT